CATTAATTGCTCTCTTAATATATCAGACAAAAGAGCTTTGTAGATCTGAAAAAACTGGAAATCTGAGGAGAAAACGCTGATGCTGGGCGAAATTGGAGTTCTGGTTGAAGAAGGGTGCATTTAAAGCTAAAGAAGGTAAAATTTATTGCAACATTTTTTGTCCACCGAAAAAGGGTAGATTTGTTTGTTTGTGATAAATGCAACCACCCACATTCTAAGATGGTGGTATTTATTGGAGGACGACAGGTACTGATGGACGAAGGAGTAATGATATTGGTCGGTTGCTGGGAATGCAAAAAAAGTGGAGAGTGGCGATTCAAGATGTTGGCAAAGAAATATGCAAAGTGTGTAGACGTAAGCGCAGGAGATACGATTGCTGATGTTGAGCAGAAAATTGCCGCAACGTTTGGAGTAGACAGAAGAAGGACAAAAATGGAGCTGAGTTTTTGGTTCGAAGGAGGAGACACTATCTACACGCAGCAAAAGATGCCGCCAGTCTCTGTTGACAGCGAGAGTTCATTGTCGAAATTCAAAAAGGTAAGAATAGAAAAGGGAGGTATGAACATGTATCTATGTTTAGAAGAAGACGATGAAGATGTGTCAAATCTCGGGGGACAAGACGATTGTCGGGGACAAGACGAGTGTCGGGGACAAGATATGGCGCGACAGCACAGAGGTGAGAGCGAAAGCACGCAGATAATTCCTGTAACTTTTGAGGAAGAGGACTTTTTAGAGGAAATATATGCGTTTGAAGAATCTTATAAAAGGAAAGAAGCTGTGCTGCAAAAGGGAAAAGCTAAGCGGGGACGAGAAAAGGAACTGGTGGTAGCATTGGGCACGGATAGTGGAGGATGGGCATCCGAGTCGGAAGACAACATGTTAAGTGAGGGAGAAGATTCAGGCGACTATGACTTTGATAATATGAGGGAGTTGATCGATAGGGAGTACCCGCCGGATTGGGATCCTTGGAAGGATTCGAGGAAGAAAGCATTGACAATTGCAGACGGATCTCCGCGGGGACAAAAGGGTAGAGTGGAGGACGATATATATTCCGGTATGGAGGACGATATATACGAGGACGATATGTATGTGGGGGACGAAAGTGTGGATGCACTAGGAGGACAAACCCAGCCAATACTAGTCGATGTCGAGGTTAATCAGATGGACGGAAGGGAAGATACCACAACATTTGATGAAGGTGAAGAGGAATGTGGAAAACTGCGGGGACAAAAGGGGACAACTTCACAAGGATGGGGACAAAGTGCAGAAATGTCACTCGAACTGACAGAATCGTTGGGTCCACCAAAGGGACAAAACCAGCCAATACTAGTCGAAGTTGAGGTAAATCAAATCGATGGAAGAGAAGATGCGACAACATTTGTTGAAGGTGGAGAGGAAAGTGGAGACATGTCAATCCAACTGGGGCAGACCAGAATGAGGCAAGTGGACGTTACGGTGACACCGTTGGAAAGAAGAGAAGATGCCTCAACTTTTAAGGCTTTTGAGGAAGGAGAAGGACAAGGAAATTTGGAGGTGACAATGGGATGTAGTGTTGGAGAGGAAAGTGCAGAAATGGGGCAGATAAGGTCGCAACTTACAATGGGGGAGACAATGTTTACTGAATTTGTGGGGGACGATATTGTGATGGGTAGAGATGCCGCACCGTTCAGGGACAACGCAGTCGGAGTTGCGCAGGACAAGGCTAACATGAATCTTAGGAAAGCTGGGGATTCAATATATATTGGGCGGATATTCCAGAACAAAGGCGAGTTGCATAAGGCATTAACTGTGTACTCTATAAAAAGGCTATTCAATTTCCGAATAAAAGCTTCCGACAAGACGCGTGTAATTGCAGTATGCCATGATAAAAAATGTAATTGGAGGGTATATGCAACGTTTCACGAGAACTCGGAGAAAGTGGAAATTCGAACAGCGAGTCTAAGACATAGTTGTGATGTGAAAGTGCGGTCAAAGTACGGGATGAAAGCAACACGATCGATTCTAGGCGAGTTGCTAAAAGCAAAACATGCGCATGGAAAGAAGGGACCTAGAGCCTGTGAACTACCAGAGATAGTATTGGCTGAACTAAACGTTACCATATCATACATGAAAGCTTGGAATGCGAAAGAGATGGCAATGAAAAAAGCTCGTGGCAGTGAAGAAGAAAGCTATAAGTTCTTGCAGACATATCTCCATCTGTTAAGGACAACTAATCCAGGTACGCTGTCCACAGTCCATACGGATTATACTGAGGAGGGGGAAATCCGTTTCAAATATTTATTTTTTGCGTTTGGGGCTTCAGTTGCTGGGTATAAGTATTTGCGGAAAGTAATAGTGATAGATGGAACACAGACTAAAGGAAAATACAAAAGCTGTTTAGTTGCTGCCAGTGGACAAGATGGAAATTATCAAATATTCCCATTGGCATTCGGAGTCATTGACAGTGAGAACATAGCAGGGTGGACGTGGTTTTTCAAACAACTGTTACAGTTTGTCCCTGATGAAGACGATCTTGTCTTCGTCTCCGACAGACATGCGGCCATATATGCTGGACTAAGGACAGTGTATCCACTTGCAAAGCACGCTTGCTGCACTGTGCATTTATTTAGGAACGTTGTCCACCATTTCAAGTGTGAGGGGCTTGCTAAAATGGTGTCCAATGCGGCTAGATCTTACACTGTGGGAGATTTGCGATATTGGTTTGAAGAAATTCAGAAAAGAGACATCAATTGTGCCAATTATTTGGTAGAGATAGGAATATCTCATTGGACACTTGCGTACTTCCCGGGAATGCGATACAATGTGATGAGCAGCAATATCTCGGAGTCCCTAAATGCTGCAATGCAAAAAGCCATAGATTTCCCGATAGTGACGATGGTAGAATTCATTAGGACTATGTTAATGCGTTGGTTTTACGAGAGAAGAGAAGCTGCAACTAGAACGAGGACAAGATGTACGCCAGAGATCGAGGAAATGCTAATAGATCACCTGAAATTAGCGACAGATTGTGCTGTCATAGCAGCAAGTGAATGGATTTATCAAGTAAACGACGGTTTTGGTATCGTTTTCACTGTGGATCTAGAGAAAAAAACATGTACTTGCAGAGTATTTGATGTGCTAATGGTGCCGTGTTGTCACGCTTTAGCCGCGGTGGGGATAAGGAACGTGGACATTTACTCCCTGATCGGGAACTATGCATTCGTGACGGAGTGGCGTAAGCTCTGGCGTGCCCATATTCTACCTCCGCCTAAGGAAAAAGACACGGAGGTCCCAAACGTAGTTAGTGAAATGGTTGTGAATCCACCAAAAACAAGAAGACCAGGCGGAAGACCAAAGACCGTACGCATACCATCGCGGGGAGAGTATCAGGTAACAAATTAAGAGTCTTAAATGAGTTTTGTCTTTCAACACAAAATAATTAATTGTGTCCATGTATGTGTTGCAGGGCAAAGGAGGGAAGAAAAAAAAACCTAACAAATGCACCACATGTGGGAAGGATGGCCACAACAGAGCAACTTGCAAAAATCCTATCTAAGTTTTAGGGAATAATACTTCGGCGGCTTTTGGTCCATGAAGTATTACGGAAAAGAGGGTTTATCGTTACTTAGGTTGGATAGGCCACGGGAAATTTGTTTAGTCCATGGCTTAACATCCATTTTTTTAGTCCATGGCTTAACACGGAAAGTATAACTAATATATATTTATCTTTTGGTAATTGGATGTAGTATGACATGTATTGGTATCTTTTGGCAAGCACATCTCACAACTTATCGAACAAAAACTATATATATTTATCATATACATCTTCGGGGAAGACAAAAATATATGGGAGACCATATAAAGGAAAAACAAACAAATCATAAGACCCACCAATTAACACAGAGAGGACAGGGGGTCCAAACATTACAGTTGGAACATTCTGAATATCGACGAGGGGGATGGATCAAGTAGCACGTATAGCCAGTCCAGTTGAATCTAAGTTGGGTTGGGGCAATCTTCTTAATATCGGATATCACAAGCTTGGCCACACGATCAGCGTTGCGAGAAGAGACAACTTCTTGTTTGAATAGATTCATGGCGATGATCGCATCCTTAGGTCTATTAATAGAGACAAGGTAGAGACCCTTGGTGAAAAGAATTTGTCGGATGGATCGGGTATATGAGCGAGCATGTCCATTGCTTCTTTGATTAAACCTTCAACTGCAGCGAGCCTAATGCTCTCTAAGTAACAAGCAGCAGGATTTCCAGCCTTTACACATCGTAAAACAAAGAAGTAAATGGGTGAACCGATGAAAACATTTTGAGGATGCGCTTCAAGGAGAGCCAGAGAAGTCTCCCGCAAAACAGAAGGATCAAGTGCGAGACGCATGCCAGCGTTCCCAGAGAGAATAAGGGGACCTAAGTGTCGGTAACATGACTTACCAACAAGAAGGACAATCGATACTCTAAGATGTTTGGGAAGCTTTTGCCACAAAAACATATCAAGGAATTGGAATTAGGAATGGTTTAGCACAATGAATGTCGTTACTTACCTATATATAGATGGGATTACTAATTAATGGTTGGGGACAATGAATGTTGCTGTTAGAGATTTTGAATTAGTAGTTGGAGACAATGAATGTGGAAAAGTAAATACTAATTAAAGTGACAAGACCTATCTCATTACTAGGTGACTAACTATTCTAAGGGATAACTGTTTAGCAGTTTCGTATTGCATTGGGGGACGTGAATATACAATTTACGGTAGCTTATCAGCATAGAAATAAGTAGATCTGGGGCGAGATATCTTGATACTTCATATTTTTACAATATATATAAGTTGTAGAATTGAGTCGAAGCTTGGAAGCGTCTCGGGTACAATAATCGCGTGTAAGCAAAAACACGTTTGGAGGACACGAACGTCTCTAAGTGATAGCTTCATATCTTAAATATAGATAACTTGTAGAATTCGGACTACAATAAAAGAGGGACGAACATTACACGATAGTCCCTAGTAGACAACATGATATAAAAAATGGGGGACATAATAGCCGAAGGATGAAAAAAGAGCTATTAAAGCTACATATAAGTGCCAAGCACGAACGCGGCTACGGGGACAATAATCGCAAGGATGAGAACGATGATTTTAGGACACGAACGAGCGACGTCGACAATGGAACGAGGGGAGCGTTGCAAAAGACATAAATTCTGCTGAAGCAATTTAATGTCTTCCTGGTAAAGGTCCAGACGATCGCACATCAAGGCAAGATCCATGTGCTCCCCGTTAGGGGCGGTAAGTAGGAACTTAAGGTGTTCTTCCTGTTCCCTAATAGAGCACTTAACCGCTGAAATCTCGTCCATAAATGCCTCGTCCAACCATTTAACAAGATGGCGCCCAGGTCGGTCCTGAATACAAACATAGCAAATGTAACTATAGTAGATCGAATTATTGAATATAGTAAGAGTGGGATTTAAACTTACATCTCTCTTCTCGCACTGATAAAACTGCCTGCCAGGGTTGTCCTCGGAGAGTGAATTCCCAAGTACGACCGTCCCTCCGCAGTAACAGTGACGAGGTATACCAAGATTTTCAAAAGACATTGGCCCGGGATAAACAGGTCCATAAGAACTAAGAGATTCTCGGGATGAATCCAATGACTGGCTATAACTATGGAGGCCCATGGTCCGTGGGAAACAATTAGATGGTAGAAATTATGGAGTAGGCTGGGGGGAGTTTGAGAGAAAGGGGATAATTGTGTAGATGAAGAGATCATTAATGTGGAGAGATAAATAGAGACTGATGCCCAAAAATCTTGAAAAGAATATAATATAAATTTATTAAGCAAAAAGTTACCTTTTCGCTGATGTGATGACACAGAAGAAAAATCATGGGGAAGCGTAACAGGTTAGGGGAGAGAATAGTGGAGAGCAACTGGCTTCTACTGTTGTTATTGGGTATCTAAACGTTGACTTGTTTGTAAAAATTGCCTATCCAAAATTGCGACAGGGACAACATAATATAGAATATTTTAGGAGACAGGATCTCTGTTTGCGGAGGACAACCTAAATATCCAAGTAGTTCCTAAATAGATAGCAGTTTAAAAATATTTAGTTCCTAAGCATCCAAGTAGCATCCAAGAAGAAAACAAAGAAGAGTAAATAATTATTACAAAAAGACATAAGTTCTTAAGCAGAAATATTGAAAGGGGCATCACAGCCGGAGAGGCTGAACAAACTCCTCGAAGATGTCGACAGCAAATCTCATCCTGATATTCTCCACAAGTTCTTCAGTTATGCTGTCGTGAGTAATGTTTTGGAAATGAAGCTCAATGTACTTCATAGCAAGCGGGCCACTGTCGTCTTCATGTTCGCTTTGAAAGATTTCAGGGAGACGATCAAAGGCGAACTCAGGGGGAACTTGACGATTGCAGAGAACATCTTGGGGGACAAGTGATTTGATGATAAAAGGAAGCAACACAACGAGAGGTTTCATGAGCACGCCCATCTGTTTGTCGGTTTTGGCAGCCATGTTAGGGTCAAGAACACCTATGGTACCCTCTTTCAGATCTATGACAAGCGCAGCCCAGTGGCCCCCAGACAGATGTAAAGGCGCGTACAGAGTGTCGACCTCAGAAAACCAAGCCTGTCTCGTGAATCGGCCAGGGACTATACCCCTGACGTAGTCCCGTATCTTACTGTTCCACGGCCACTCAGATTTACTTTTGGACTTCTTGAAACGAGAATAGAGTTCGCTAAGGGTAAGCGAAAACCATGAATCAAGTATGGCAGACCTACTCTGGACCAAAGTATCCCCAAACCTCCGAGCCAACAGGCTTAGCATGGCATCGATGTGCTGGATTGTATAGAGGACAATAATTAATTTAAGGGACATGATATTATAAAATGCAGGTATCATTGGTTTACAACGTATCTCTTGGTGGACAGAATGGTGAGGAGTAAGCATATCCTTAAAAAATGATTTGGGGACAACATGTGCATCGAGGACGAACTCCCTGACCATTAATGTAAAATAGTAATTTAAAGGTTGGGGAAAAAGAAGTAAGTAATGAATTCAATAAGAAACTGAATTACCTCTGGCGATAAGATTTGAGAGTGGACAAGAAATGTTTCCGAAGATCATCATTTACTAGGACAAACGGGTGCAAAACCTCATCAGTTGATTGGGAAACACTATTGGTCCCTGTGGATTCTTGTCCCTGGACTGGAATAGGGTCACGGAAACGGTGGGGTTTATTCCTTGCCCTTTTGGGAGGGAGGATCGGCTTAGAAGAATCCCCGCCAAGAGAAGAAGATTTTCTCTTTTTCCCAAAGGGACTTTTTTCTGAAATTGCCACACCACCAGTAGCATTTCCCTATAAAAAAAGGTATTTTAGGGAAAGGGACAAACAGAACCACAATTAAAATGCTGAAAATTTATGAGATACCTCTTGATCGTCAACCAGTTGTTCATCAGCACCTCTTGAGGATTTAAAAAGCTCTGGCGGCCATGCTTTGTTTGCCTAGATGAATGGGCACGACAGGTTAGGGACAAGAAATTAGAATTTGCGTTTTAGTTATTACAGAAATAAGTATTATACCTCGTCCATAGCTTCATCTTGGTGATCCTCGTCTTCAGACCTTCCTTCACTATCACCACTACTCTCGTCACCCTCTTTGGGTTCATGGTCCCCAGAAACAGACTTATCCTCTAAAACCTCAGTCTCAACATTGTCCCCGGAGACATCAACAGACTTTTCAATTACTTCTTCTCTTCTGTCCTCGCATTCAACAACATCAACGTGCTCAGACACACCAACAGACTTATTCTCTATAGCTTCCCTTCTCTCCTCACCAACAAATCCCACGTCCTCAGACACACCAAAAGAATTTCCACCAGCAACCTGTTATAGTTGATTAGAAGAGAGGATCATATCCATGGAAAGACACAAGTATCCACGTTGAAACAGAGACAAACCCGCTATGTATCTTGATCGTCCTCTGATTCATCAGCCGAACTGATCTCCTCTACATCTTGATGAGGCGTTTGGAAGTCGTTGGGCTAAAAGTAAAGAGAATTAAAAGTAAAAAAGGATTAGAAAAACAAAAAACTCCACCACATAAGAAAACAAATAATGACTTTAGTTAAACTTACGTTGTGATCTTCAGGAAAATTCTCTTTAACAGACTTTCCAACCAGGACCTGTGTAAAATGGTTTAGGAACCATTTCTAGAAAGAGGTAGACAAAAAAAAAATGTAATATACAAACCTCATCTGCAACTTCTTCGTCCTCGGATTCCTCTGCGTTGTCCTCACTAATGGTTGGCAATGGAGTTTGGAAGTCTTTTGGCTGAATAATATGTAAGAAACAGAGGTTATTCAACGTCAAAACAATAGAGAAGGACCAGAAGCAACAAGGAAACTTACGTTGTGATCAATAGAGAACTTCGAGGAAGAAGGACCAGAAGGAGATGGATGAATGGTAGAAGGACCAGAAGCAACAAGACCAGGAGAAGGTCCAAACGGACCAGACTGAGCAGGACCAGAGGGAGATGCATAAGACTGGTTGAGGTTTTGTAAAACATCAGACACTCCTCCGTACTCAGACCAGGCTTGCCGCTAAAACTCCTCCAAAAGTTGAGAATTACTTTTCCCCTTAGACGGCGATTGAGGAGAACTTGGGGCGGGAGGGTCTATCTGGACATGGGGGGAATCAGAGGTCTGCCCACTAGGGACCTTGTTGATATTTATATTTTCTGGGGGACCATGCGTTTGTCCCTCAGTAACAGCGTTTGTTAATGGGACATCTGTGTGTCCCCCGGACTCCTTGTTTACATTTGCATTATTAGGGGGACCATAGGTTTGTCCCTCAGATAGTTTGTTTTTACCTGGTGAAGCAGCTTTCGGAGGGGGGGTTGTTGGAAACTTCCCACCATGGCGCAGATTGCTAATAATCTCGTCTAAGAGTTCGTCTTTCAATAAAGACTTCTCTACTCCATACATCCGACAAACTTCACCCATCAATTCAACCTTCAATTCCTCTTTCATGTCACGGAACTTCGAATTAACTTCTTCCATGATCAGAGCATAGAGAACATCTTTACCTTCAGTCCCTGCTGGGGGACAAAAGTCTTCATCGACCTTCCCTTTACCTTTTGATGAACCAGATGGACCACACTGGGGAGACTCAGGCATGTCAGAGTTTCTATTTGGACGCCTCACAGGTACCTTCTTGGTCTTGCGAACATTGGGTTCTTTGGGGTTCTCATCAACGACTATCTTTGGCCAAGTACGACACCCACCAATTCAGTCAGCTTGGCAGAACTTGTATCCGCCACCAATAAGGCTTTCCATATAGTCAACCGCCGGGTCAGAGACTTCATCAGGCCAATCGTTGATCGATGGGTGTGGGGGATCATCAGTAGACAACAGCGGGGCAATACTTAACTACATTGAATTCAATAATTAATTAGTAATCACTTGGGTACTAGGGTAAAAAAATAATAATGTTCACGAGAAGGACAAAAATAATAATTACCCCAGGAATTAGCTCTGTTTCCATTATGTTGGAATTGTGAAAAGTCTTCAACGGAGGCAAAGTAGTGATTGACCCATCAATGATAGTCTGCGTATCATCAGGTTGAAGAAGGTATCTCTCAAAAACTGGGATGGCCTTTAACATCAGCAGTTGGAAGACAAGAGGGAACCCATGGGTTGAAGAGTGAGACTGGTTGAACTTCGCAATTAGGGCAGAGAGACTGTTAACCTTCTGACTGACCTTAACCATTCGCATTGTCAGAAGGAATGATTCTCGTCCCCATGGAAACGCTTCAAACGACTCCAAATGCTGAACCATTTCGACAACTTGAAGAGAAGCTCTCACAGGTTGGGAACTGCAAAGCAATACCCCTTCAACGATCACGATAAGAGCGAGACGAAGCCTTCTCCAGTCATCCATCTTCTCTTTCTTGGGCTTCATCTTGTCTTTCCTCAGCCAGTCAACAATGTCCTTGATGAGAACACCCGGGTGGTCCTCGCCTATGAGAATATTCCAGTACGGATGTTTTTTGGTACATTCTCTCTGCGACTTCAATACATCTGCCGGTGAAGAATACGGCCGACAATCTAGACCAGTGAGAATGGCAAATTCTCTTAACGAAAAACGGAATGGCTGACCGGCAAAAATAAACCATAGCTCGTGTTTTTTCCTTGTGTAGACGCCTCTACACAACATCTGATGTACTAATTTGCCAGAAAACGAACATTTGCGGACAGGAAGCTGAAACAGCGGGCCAAAGCATGAGGCGCGAAGATAATTTAACTCTTTCGTCCCTTCTAGGATTTCGACGAGATCGAGCAGATACTCCGGCTTTGAATAAGCATTAATACGTCCGAGAGGCGGATAGCAGTCAGTGGCGTAGAGCCTTTTCGGAAGTTTGTCCCTGTTTACTACCGGGATCTCCGGTCGCGGCTGATATGGAGAATTTGAGTGGGTCGCGGTTGACTTGGCGGAGACAAAAGGGTCGTCGTCGTCTTCAAAGGAAACCGTGCGCCTGGATTTGCCAAGCGGAGACTTTTGTTTCAATTTACTCGAGGAGGACTTCATCTGCGGCGGAGGAGAGAAAACAGGAGAAAAAATTAAGAATTTCTTTGAAAATCGAACAGTGGAAAAGGAGCATGCAGATGGACAGAAACCCTAGAAATTGGGGACGAAACGATTAAATCAAATTAGATGACTACGAACCAATAATTAGATGACTACAAACTAACTTGTGATTAATCAAGTATGAGGGACAAAATCGAGTGTCAGTTACATTCAAAGAATCTGCCGAAAATGGTTTACCGTAACTAACTTCCGATGAGAGGAGAAGGAGAAGAAAGAGAAAGGGAAAGTGAATGAGAGACGAAAGCGGTTACACTTCTCGCAGGGGAGAGAAGTTTGTGGGGTGTAATTTTGCACGGGTCTCGAGGGTTAATAGGGAAACGAGAAGGTGCGAATGTCAACTCGTTGGCAGGCGCAGGCGGGAAAACTGCCATCAACTGTGAGGGCAAAATTGACAATTCACAGACAAATGTGGTATGAGTTGAAAGATGGAGAAGAATGTGGTAGATCTTGAAACAAATTGGGAAAATGTGGTAGATCTTGTAATTTTTCCTAAAAAAAAAAAGGTTATGAATATAATCACGACAACTAATCAATCTCTACAATATATCTATATATACATTTTTGGAGTACACTTAGCAAATAAATCCTAGAGTTGCTAAGTATTTACAAAGAATGCCATTATCATAAATGTTTATCTATTAATTAATATTACAAAATATTTTAGAAAAAATCTTTTAGAAACCATGGCTTCTAAATATGGTAACAAATTGATTTTGTTTCTAAATTTTCCTAAAACATCTCTACCTAATTTAAACATTAATGTATGATTCTTCTTTCACTTTTATATGATCTTATAGTAATTTATTTTGAATTTATATAAAATACATATAATTAATAAAATAATAAAAAAATTTCTGCATATAATATGTTTAAATTTTTTTAAAACGGACATATATTACTCAATCGATGAATAAAAAATATGTGTACAATATCCCACATTGCTTAAAAAATTGGACAATAGTTTAGAGTCATACTATAAAAAGGACCAAAATAATTCTGAATACAAAACGGGGTATACCACGGGTGAAACCTAAAATTAAAATAAAGATATAATTATATAATCTTAAATACGTTTTTTTGGTATTCTATATAATCTTAAATACTAAACAAACCAAACAAATATAATTTAAAATTTAAAAATATTAGTTTAAAAAAATTGACCCACAATATATCGTGCGATAAATTTTTTTGATACAAAATAATATCAAATTATTATAATAGTCCATGATTATAAATGCCTGTCAATACTAACACTATATCATTTCTACACCTACAACTTTTCTAAGTACACATATTTCGACGATATTAATTATAATATAAAATAATTAAATGAAATTTTTTTATTTAATATCAATTTAAAAATCTAATAAATTATAAATTATTATATAAAATACATAAAATACAATTTTGCCCCGCGGTATACCGCGGGTTAAATCCTAGTATATTATATATTTTGACAAAAAAATATTTTAATGATAAAAAGTATTTGATACCACTATATAATTTGAAAGATGAAATATGAAATATTTTAGATCTAAAACTCTATATATATATATATATATATATATATATAGATGTATTTCAAGAAAATAGATTATTTAGTTTTATTTTAAGTATAAATTTTCAAATGTTTTCGAAACCATCTAAATAACAATTTACACTTTAAATATATCATCTAATATTAATATATTATAATTTTATAAAAATTAATTAAATATATTTATTTATATATATGACCCCTATAAACAAAATTTCTAGCTCCGCCACTGTCGGAGAGTAAGAGTGTCAAGCGGTGACTACTTTCTCAACAAGGAAGAACAAGAATGACTCTATACACAAGATTAATCAATGGAGAATGACGTTGTTGCAGCTTTGAGTTTCGAGAGCGCGAAGAAGAAGATGAGAAAAGGTTGCGTGAAGATGACGATATAAACATAAATACATACACGTTTTTGGTTTTGTGTGTCATTTAGGTTGGCTGGGCCCCTCTTGGGCTTGGGCCTCACAGCAAGCTTCTTCTCTAGGCCACGACTTCCCCTTTCGGAATGGTTAAGCTCATGTTCTCTCCCTCTTCCTTGAACCTTGGTCAAAAACTCAAAACTCTCAACCGCCGACCTTACTCTCCCTGGAGATGGCTAACCATCCTTCATTCTCGTATGGTTGTTGCGCTCATATATCTCTCTTCCAGATAAAGTGAAACTAGGGTTTTAAATGATGGACCTGCCCAATTTCGGCCCACTAAAGTTTCTGAAGCACGAATACACAAGGTGTTATCCAATCCAAATTTTGCTAAAGCCGAGGTCTGTTCTAAACTCTGCTTTGTCCATCCTTAGCATAACTTTGCGTCGATTGCCAAATTGAAATGATCGTGGATATCAATTGGATAGTATGTCATCATTGTTGCTATGGATGTATAAGAATTCTATGAGAACCATGCCACTAGATTCACCTCGAGCTATTTGTTATGAATCCAAAAGCTTGAAGAAGAATGGTATCATGTTCCCGATTTTAAGAAGTCGATGGTATGACAAAAGCAATAAATAAATTTTATTAAAACTATTTAACCAAGGCTAAGTTGCAGTCAATAAAAACTAAATGAGTAATAGCACATGAAAAAAAATAATGAGTAATAGCACTACATAACCATACTCTAAGCTGCATGGAATCGGAAGCGGGTACGCGGAAGCGGAAGCGTTTGGAAGCGTAGAAGCGAGTTTTTGAAAATATTTAGGAAGCGGGTACGTGTTGGAAGCGTAGATATATACAAATAATTTTTATATATATATATATATATCAAACATAAAATCATATAAAAATAAATTAGCTAAAACCTAAAAGTTAGGGTTATATAATGTTATTAATCGAACATATCGTGATGTTATTAGTAGCGTTGTGGTAATAGAGCATTTTAAATCGTCTCAGGTGGCGAGTTCGAGTATCCACGCATGAATTGGGTTTTTATTTACTTAAAACGAATAGGGGTAAACTTGTAATTTTAGTTGAGGAGTCATCCTCTTCTTCCCTTGAAAAACCTAATCGTCGTCTCCTCATGTGCTTTTTTTTCATGGTTTTTTTCCGAACATAGCTAACGTTGGAGACGCTTCCAATCTACACATGCGACGCTTCTCACTCGGAATCTTACGCTTCCACCACGATTCCGAAAGCTCTATTTTGGGAATCGCGATTCCAAACCGATTCCAAACGATTCCGGGCGATTCCGCTCCCGTTTCCGATTCCGAAGCGGGAATCGACACAACTTTGCCGATTCCGTGCAACGTAGACCATACTTTAGGTTTTTATTATTAAAATCTATATATGTCATTTTGTACATATGGTGGTTCATTTCTCACACACGTTCTTTTAAATTTAGTATAGATTTCACGTAACGGTTTTAAGAAGATATTCCTATTTTGTTTGACTACATTATTTGTTATAATATCACTTTCTTTTTGACACGCGTCAAAAGCAATAAATTTCATTAAAATTATTTGACCAATTTTAACTTAAGTTGGATTATCTACCAAATATAACAAATATAATTATGATATATATTTATTTTCTAAAAAAAGTTATTTTTGGGTAAAATAGGGGGTTTTAGTTAAATAAAAAAACTAGAGGACCCATTTGTAAAAAAAATTATAATAACATAAAAAAAGTTAAGTAATTAACAAGAGTAATATAAATAAAAATCACCCAAACAATAATAATTAGTAAATATAATTTGTCAATTATGGTATCAATATCACATTATTTACATATATTTTACTTCTCTTATATTTAACACGGGTCGCAAAAGATATCTGTCACTGTATTGATTTCACTAATTTTAATGAAGTTTATTGCATTTGATTATCTACAAAATAAAACCATACAAAATTGGTAATCTACATAAAAACCAAATAATAATAAAGAAAAATGATGATATATAGCTAGTCTATACAACTTTTTCTACAAAACTAGGGGGTTTAAAATTTCCCATGAACGTATAAGATCATAAAATTAAAAGACCTAAATGTAAAATTATTATAACAATATGGAAAACAATGTAAATAAAATAAGTAATGTAAAGAAGAACCGCCTTAGTAAAAAAGGCCCACCTTTTCGGTGTCTTATAAATTTCTCCATCGTCTTCTTCTTCTTCCTCTTCCTCTTCTCTCTGTAAACCCCCACACACAACTGTGGGTGGCGACTATATTCTCCATTTTCTCTGTGACCATCTCTATTTTTCTCTCTGTTTCTCAGATTCAGTTTCGTGTCTCGAACAGATCAAGACCCAAACAATGGTTGTTCCTCTTATTCATAATCCTTTTTTTTCAGAATTTTTCAATCGATTTTTGTGGTTTTTGTTTTGTAGAAATTGATTCATGGGTCTGTTTGATTTCAGGTGAGTTCGATAATGAAAATGGAGAACGATGACGTAATGATTCCGCCATGGCTAAAACCAATGCTCCGAGCTGACTACTTTGTGACTTGTTCGATTCACGCAAAATCGAGTAAGAGTGAATGTAATCTGTTTTGTTTGGATTGTTTAGGCAATGCCTTTTGTTCTTATTGTTTTGATGATCACAGAGACCATCGTGTTGTTCAGGTTCGGATTTCATCATCATCTCTCTCTCTCTGAGGAATTTCATCGAACACCTTCGTTTTAATGAACCCAATTCTATGTTTTTGTGGTTGCAGATTCGACGATCTTCGTATCATAATGTTGTGAGAATGAGTGAGATTCAGAAACATATTGATATCTCTTGTATTCAGACTTATGTTATCAATAGTGCTAAGATCTTCTTCCTAAACGAGAGACCTCAGTGTAAAACGGGTAAAAGCGTAAACAAAACATGTCAGATCTGTTCTCGTAACCTTCTCGATTCGTTCCGGTTCTGTTCTCTTGCTTGTAAGGTAATGTACAATGTTCTGGTCTTTCTTCAAGTTCACAAGTTTGATATCTACTTTTGTGTTGAATTGTTCAATTACATTAACAAATGGTTTCTTGGTTGTTTTATGGTTTGCTTCACTTCTTATTGTATGCTTCACAGTTATAGTTTTTGATTGTCTCTTATAGCTTGAATGTGTCAAGAGTGGGGAGGATCCAAATTTGACCTTCTGTCTCGGTGACTCCTCGAAGATCCGCAATACCGGAATTTGTAGCCGGTTGATCAACGGAATCTCGATCGCAGTTGATGATCAACGCAGTGAAACCGCTGCTGTGTTATCTCCAAAGACACCTTCAATAGAAAGCCACCGGAATTACCCAATGAAGAGTAGAAGAAAGGGTATACCTCACCGAGCACCTTTCTAAAAGGCTTTATTAAAGAGTAAAGGTATAAGATGGAATATGGGAGAAATCAGAAGAGAGAAAAAAAAAAAGTGTTGGTAAATGACTAAATGCAATTTATCTTACATAATTAGTAGCAAGCCTAATTACTAAAGAGTACAGAACAAAAATGTGATATTCATAGAAATTGGGTTATAAATATATGATTTTAATCAGTCTTATTTACCTCATATTTGTCTCTTTAACTTTATTTTACAGCATTATAACCTTTTTTTATTATTTGGAAAAATGAATTTTTTCAAAGGTCACATCACATTTTGAAACATGAAGATGTAACTATAAATATTTGTATATTTATAGGAGATTCCTTCAGGTTCTTTTGAATGTTCCTTTTAGCTTTAAAAGTGAGAGAGTGAGTTGGCATTTATGGATGTGATATGTGAAAAGTATGGTATAAAATAAGCTTGGTGAGGCATCATGTGTTTAATAAAGAATGGAGAGAGTGTAGTGGTGTGGATTTGTCATACTTTGCCATCAACATGGTTTTTGGGGTTTGGTGAGAGTATCTTATGATTCTTTGGGCAAAGATATATTTCCTTTTTTGGCTTCAAAGTACATTTGTGGAAGCTAAATCATGTTTTGCTTGTTTATCTTCTTTTAAAGAAAACGATTTTATTTTACTCTATAGGTTTCTACTTTGTTTATCTATGATGACACCTTTACTCTTTTGTTTGAGATTATGTGGTATTGTAATTAGTTACTTGATTTCATATTTTCCAGTTTTACATAGACCTAGCATATAATTGGTGGATTTCCATCTATTTGCCTCGTTGCTTTACAATTTGTTGTTGGGTTGATTTTATATTTAGAATGGTAAGAGACATTACATATGTTCTTTAATGACATTTGAGAATTTAGGGAAATTATTGCGCATGACTTATGTTCTTCCGTGACATTATAAAATTTAGGGAAGTAACTATGAAGGTTCTTCTGTTTTCCTTATTTGTATGTTTAATAAAAAAAAAATTGAAAATGTAAAGAAAAAAAAACATAGAGAATTATTGAATCAAATATGGCAATTGTTCTTTTTTATTTATTTATAATGTAAACATTAATTTAGAGCCTCTAAAGTTTGTTAACTTACCACTTTAACTTATTTTTTGTATATTTAAGTAATATAAAGTTTTCCATTTAAAAATTGTTTTTCTTATTTTTAAATTTGTTTGTAAAAATAAAATGAAAAATGTTGAAAGATTAAAATTGTAACTATAGAATTGGAAAGTAGACAATTTTTTATATAGAAATATATAATGAAACAATTGGAAAGTTTGATGAATAAAAATAAAATATTTATATTTATTTATTTACAACGAACTGTTCGTGCTAAATTATCCGCTTTAACATTTGCACTAAACCAAAGATAAAGAAAAAAAAAGTAGAATTCTTCCTTGTCAATCTGTATTTTCTCCAAGTATGTAGAAACAGTTGGCCAGTCGGATCCTGAATGGCAATCCGATTAAGGTGTGATGTGATAACCCTAATCGCATGTCAGTATGTCACCATCGAATGGCAAAATGATTAGAGTTTGATGTGATTTAAGTGTTGTTAGCAAGCGATTAGTTTCTTATATTTTACTTTTACTCTAATCGTTGTGCAAACGAAGTATAAAACAACGATTAGGGTGGTACAAGTGTGATTTATAGGTATATTTACCATTATACCCTCACTTATTTCTACTATATCTAATTAATTTTTTTAATATTTAATAATTAATATACGATTACGTCAATTTAAAATACAATTTTATCAATTTTTCAACAAAGATCTATTTTCGCTTTATTCGGCTAAAACGAATTTCACATAATTTTACGGTGATACTGAAAATCATGTTTTTAGTGGGAAATGCGAAATCAAGTTTTCGGCAAAAAAACGAAATCACGTTTTTATCGCACTGTTAACGGAAAACGTGATTGGCGGAAGAAAACAGAATCACTTTTTTGGCGAAAAACAGGAAATTCCGTTTTTGACAAAAATTCTTAATCACATTTTTGACTTGAAAAACGTGTTTAGTGGGAAAATGCAGAATCACGTTTTCGGCAGAAAAATGAAAATCACATTTTGGCGGGAAAACATAGAATCGTCTTTTAGTAGAAAAATGAAAATCACGTTTTTGGTGGATAAATGCGGAACCATATTTTTGATGGAAAAACACGGAATCACATGTTTGGCGGAAAAATGGAGAACCATGTTTTTGGTAGGAATATGCATAACCACGTTTTTGGCGGGAAATGCATTTATAACACATATATTTATTCTTTACGAATAAAATAAATAAAAATAATTAAACATATAAATTCATAAAATTAATAATATAGAGACCAAAGCCTTTTTGTACAAGAATTCAGGAGGCATCGCCTTCCATTAAGAATTCAATAGGCATAGCTTTCGTTTGATCATAGAGAAGGAGGCATAGCCTACCATATATATATATATATATATATATCGATCAATCCGGAAAAAATATAAATTTTCATTTGATCGTTAGGAAGGTAAAATCTACCATATATGACGATCGATCCGGAAAAAGAATAGTCATTTATTTTATCGTAAAAGAGGCATAGCCTACCATATATAACGATCTATCCGGAAAAGACATAGCTTTTTATTTGTTCGTAAAGAAGGCATAGCCTTTTTCCGGTTTGATCGTTATAAATGGTAGGCTATGCCTTTTTTTTTTTTTTGTTGACAAAAAAAAAGGCATAGCCTACCATTTATAACGATCAAACCGGAAAAATGCATAGTCATTTCCACTCCTTCATCGAAATTGTGTTCAATTTCATTTATTTGTGTCAATGGTTGTATTTGAGTGGTTCATGTATCATGAAAAACTCTCTTTATGGTATAATATAATTTGATTTGCCGGAAAAAAAAATCATATCAAATTTGTATCTTAGTTGATATTAAAAATAATTAACAATTAACAAAATATAATTAATAAAAAAAAAACAGAAATGCACAAAAATATTTGAAAAACAAACATTGTTTAAAATATATTTTTTACATATGGCCTAATCTCGTAAGTTAATTTTACCTCATGTAAACTAATTTTAAATGAGTTAAAATTAAGAAATAAAAATATACTAACTTCTCAATAGTAATTGAAAAGTCAATCCTATAAGCTATTTTTCTCAAAAAAAATTATGTTTTCACTTATGACTACATGCTTTAAAATTCTTAAAATAAAACATAAGTATAAGCTTACGGTAACACATCAAAGGATGCAACCCCTCCATCGTAGAATGCGTTAAAATTCTTAGAATAAAACATAAGTATTCAAAAATATTATTCTCATAAGCTCATTAATTTGTTTTATTTTTTTATATATTTTAATTTGACAAATGAAAACGCTATATTACAATGATACATACAATTTTATCCAATTAAATTAATGTTAAATAAGTTATATTGTTATTTTAAACTTCAATGACCTTTTAATTAGTTATTATCCACACTAAATGTTTTTTTTTTAAATTAATATATGCTAAATTTAATTGACCAATAACACATGTAAAAACAAATTTGTTAAAAAAAACTTTGGTTAAGAAAAATAAGTTTTTTTAGATATAGATATATAAATTAGTATATATAAATTTGTTTGCTTTTTTAGTTTTTCTATTTCTTTAAAGGAAAAAAAAAGTTAACACTTTTCTAACTCATGTCAAAATCTGATCAATAGACTTGACACGTGACACAATCCTATGAGTTACTAACTTTGAAAACCATAATAAGACTAGAAATAATTAAGAAAGAAGAAAGGAACGTAGAGAGAAGGAGAGCAAATAAAATCTCTTCTTTCTTCTGTCTTGTTATTAACTTTGCTCACTAACGATTACATATATATAGTAGAGTGACTTTGAGCCCAAACAACTTTGAGCTCAAGTTACAACAAGATAAACATCATCTATAAGACATGTAAGTGATGGGTTATCATATCCACATTTATCTATTTATAATAATATCAATATAATGTATGAGAAAAAAAAAAACAATTCTATAAATTTGTGGTATGGTTATGATCCGGTAAGATAATACAATAAAAATCAAAAACTATGTTTACCAACGAAATTAGCTCTATCGGTGTGTATTTAGGCATGATGAGGCCTATAATTAGTGAGTAGGTATGGGCCAGAAAAAGCCCAATCTATAGAATGAGGTTTAATTACTGAAATATGTCGATTAACATATATCTACTTATCTAGTCCTAAACTCCTAATAATTACTTTACTGAAAGAACAGTTTGGTCACAATCTAGGGTTTCTAGTCCATCGCCATGACAAAACGGAAGCAGCACGTCTCCGGCGATAATTCGCTCTTTGATCAGATTTCTGTTGATCTCGTCATCAATATCTTGTCGAAATTGCCGGTGAAGTCTATAGCTCAGTGTCGTTGCGTATCGAAGCACTGGTCATCCATTATTCGCCGTCCAAATTACAACATGTTGTTCCCGACCAAGTCTCCGGCTACACCGAGGTTCCTTTTCATCGTTAGAAATGGATTATTCAGACCAAATTTCTTCATCTCCTCATCACCTGAGGTTTGGCGTCCCAAACCTCATTGATTGGTACCTTAGGGTTATGTCTATTAGCCGGCCATGTCTATGGTTTTTTGAACCTTCTCGTTTTCCCTTGCACCTTTCTTTGATTTCTAAGGGTTCTTGTCTTTGGAACCTTTTGGGTCTACCACGTTTCTTACATGTTGTAGCCTCTGTAGCAACTTGATTGTGTTCCTTGTGAACATCAATACGTACTGGTGCATTACAAGCTGGTATGTACGATTTTGTTACTCTCTTTGGGTCATTATAAGAATCTTGGCAACTGTTTTAGCTAGCTTTTGCAGATATATAGTCTTTTGGATCTCTGATGGAGTCCGAGGATCTTGCCATGTGAAGGATGTTTGATTCCATGTAAGTTCTTTGACCAGCTTGTTAGTCTCTCCACCTAGTGTTGGGAAAACGGATTCATTGAGATGACAATCCTTGTATCTGGCCTTTGGCTCGAGATACTTAATGATGGTGGGAGAATCATTTTTAACGTATATTCTCATCCCCTTTTGAGGTCCCATCATTTGCTCTCTGTGGTGGTGCTATGGGTAAATAGGTGACACACCCAAATGTCTTTAGATGGGACATATCTGGCTCCTGACCTGTGAGTAGTTGGGATGGTGAA